CACTCACGTTTTCTCTTATATAGCTTCTAGAAAGAGAGAGGGACAGAGAGACTAATTTTATTGTACGTGATAGATTATGATTTGTCAGTTTTCAGGAGCTATGCTTCTACTGTGCGACATCGGTGAGTACAGAAAAGTTGTCACCGGCCTCGAGCTTCCGTTCGTGTCAAAATTGTTCGAAGCATTAAATGCGCTATGCAATTTGTTGATAGTTTCCCCGGACAATCTCGCTTCGGCATGTTGTTCCGGAATGCTGGTATGTTGTTGTTCTTTCTTAAACACCGATTGAGACACTTCACTCTTTAAGGGAGACGTTGAACGAACGGTAGTAGTAGGATTCGTACAGCTGCGAGCGGACTACAAGACAGCAAAATTGAATATCGACTTTCAATAGCTTTGAGCATTTAGTGAGGATTCCTTTTCGCTATCTTTGTTTAGATTTATTTTCTATTGCTATTTTTTAGTTATAATGCTGCTTTAGTTGTACAGTAACGTATTTATGGTGCGGTACTGAATAAATTTAAAAATAGGTTACGTTGCTCGTGAGGTGGGTGGCCGGACCTTGAAGTGCCGTTTTCTCTCCGCCTCCTTGCTGGCCATTCGTTATGTTTCATCAAAATTCGTCGTATTTGTTTAGGACGTAGAGAATTTGCTTGAATACCTAAGAGATCTAAACTTTCCACCTCGTATTTGTAAATTGCAGCATACTATGTCATTGGGATGAAGCATGCTGATTACTGATGTTCTGGTTTTCAAAGCGGCAGATGAATCGACCACGTTTAGGGAACGAAGAACCTCCTACTAACGGAAGAGTGCGTGTTAAAAACAACTTTAACGCCTGACCGATCGTTTTCCTTAAGCTGCTGTCAGTCTAAAGATCTATTGTTTTCCTCTCATTGACGACATTTGTTCCTGTCAAAATGTTTCTTAGGTAGCGGTCTGAATTCAGTACATGTAAGGTCTGTCTCTCAGGCCAGGTCACAGCGTTGTTGATCGAACATCCTGAAGAAGGTATGCCAGGCTATGAAAATGGATATTCTATCGATTAAATGGCCTCACCAAATTATTCCGAACTATGGGGATAGCAGACTGTATAACACATTTATAGATGATATGGTATGCATATATAGAAAAATGATATCATTTTACCAGTGAATCCGGTTACATTAGTATGCGGCATTCGATTCTACATCTATTTGCGATAAGGGAAATCTTAACATTATGTGGAATATCTGTGCAATTCACATTCATTTTGGATGTTACGTATGTGAAAACTCCACAGTAACTGAAGCGCTACGGAGGTGCACCTCCGCCTTTGCTGCAACATTTTCTCTATTCATATCCCAAACAAAGGTTACTTTTGTAAAGAAGGGAGGCACGATTGAAAATGCTGCAAATCTGAAGGACGCAGATTTTGTCTTAATGAACAGCATAGGAAGCGGTTATCACTAACTGACGACTTTAACACAGAGCACAGCCGCAAATGGTGGTTTTTTTAAACATCCAGAGTTCCGAAGTTATGAGGAAGCTGACACAGTTGATCATACATGCAACAGGTAGTTGCAGCATTAGAAGAGCTCCAACAGTAGTAAAACAAGTTCTGAGTTCCACTGTCATAAGCTAATTAAATTTCTGTAGTAGCACTTTTAACGGATACAAATTCGACTGATTTAGCGACTCATCAGGCAGGTGAAGGTGCGCAGAGGATATGCATAAGATAAGCTGGATTCTACCAATGTGCAATGCCTTATACCCATTGTGACAGTGCTCACCAAGGTTTCCTTGCCTCCATACTTCCGGTAACCTTCCATTACTTGGGCTGCAAAAGCACTATCGCTTTTCGTCACAATTTGTAACATGAATCGTTAAGGTCAATGTCGTTCTATAACATCCTAAAGCATAACGCGGAAAAACTTAGTTTAACGTTGGCTTCTATAGGAATACAATGACTTATCACAGAAATAACCTATCCGCTAGACTTTTATTTATAACCTGTTCAACGTCGTAAAAAAATCAACTGTGCGAAACATGACGAAAGCAAATATAAATCGACATATATAGCAATTAATGTCAAAATGCAAGAATGTCACGTTTCTGATGATTTGGATTCAGATTTATATTTCTTTCGTAACGGCAGGATTTCCTTTTCCAGATCTGCACAAGCCCTTTCGATCTCGTAGTTCTTTGTTACCAGGCCGACCCAACTATAAATATTAGGTCACAAGTATGAGGACATTAGCTCAAATCGAATGAACATTCGAAAGGAATAGTTATTCCTATATAATCATTACTAAACTATCTGATTAAATGTTGAGCTGCATTCTTCAGGATGAAACGTTACTACTGATTTGGTCCAAATTTTTGCATACGCAAGATACATAAAACCCGACGGTCGCTATAGTGTGAGAGATGGTCAGTGGTCAAACTACTGAGTATGTTATTCAAATTCAGCTACTAAACCTAAATGGGGTTCAAATTTCTGGTATTGCTGAAATATACAAACAGGAACTTGCCTTATAATGGCATTCTAGGTTAAGCGTTGAACCTCCATGATGCCATTTAAACGGCAAACTAAAAGATATAAACTTCAGCATGCATGTCGTTGTTCTACTTTAAACTCTGACGGCATTCTACTCATAATCTCCCCAGACAAACTGAGCCGAAGAGGCCTCAACGTAGCAATTTCAAATATTTTTCAATCACCGGCATTACGCCATATGGATAATATAATTTCTCAGTCTCTCGGCACTCTGCTGATACAGTACTTCTTTAGGTATTTTTAGCCAATTTTAATGGATGGTGCCTTCCCTGTAAGAGAGTTTTCGAAGATCGCTGGACGACGGCAGAAATAAAAGTCTAGTAGTTTCAGAGTCTGACTGTCAGTAGCTGGTACGGCATATCTTTCGATCGCTCTCACTTCATCCTCAGCTCTATGGTGGTGGAAGAAATTAAAAGGAAAATTAGCCAGCAGTGCGTTTCGCCCTGTGCTCTTCTCCTTTATTGCCGTGAGCGTCCGGGCCTTACAGCCACAAAAGCAGAATGGTTTCACAAGCGTTGTTAACACGGACCTCAGCCTAAACGTTAATGTCGCTTCCCTATCAGATCAGTAGAATTTTTATAGACGCCGCTACTTTTGCTATTTACATTTTTCCCAATTCAGATTGCCAAGTTATTCCAGTTTACATACAAATCGGTAGGTTTACGACCTTCACCACTGAATCATATCCTCAAAAGCTACCTCTCTACTTTGCTTAGAATTTCTCGGTAAACCCAAAGACGCTATGATTGTATTAAATTGACTGGCATGGCCTAAGAGCCCTACTGACTACATTAAAGTAAAAACTGCGGTATGCAAACGGGACAATGTTGATCAGACAAAATGGTAACATAAAATGACCCCAAACTGCCCCCTCCAGAGATTAGTTGTGCGAAAAAGTAAACAGCAAACAGTTTGTGACTGCAAGCAACCTCGCGTATGTCGGCAGTTTTCCTGTTCCACTTACTGAGCAGTGTTGCTCCTTAACGGCGTTCCCTGAATTTCCATATGGCAATACAAACAGGCTGATGATTAATTTACTAATGCACTTCTCTCATGGTCATTTAAGATCATTTTTGCCATTACCTGTTGACGAAGAAATGATG